GTCCAGCTGCCACCCGATCCCCTGCAAGGAAAGAACGGCTACCTCCGCAGGAGCCGCCGCCGCTGCCCACGGCGCCTTCAAATTCATCAGCCTGGCCTGCGCGCTCTCGAAGCACGTCTGTAGAACGCCTACCTTCGGGAACGACTCCCAGACCGCCTGCGGCCACTGGAAGACGACTGCACCTATGTTCAGGATGAGCGGGTCCACCCGTGGGCCCTCCTTGAAACTGCGGAGCCTGAGGTCTGCTGAGACTCCTCGTGAAACTTTCCCAAGCTACCAAGGGCTCCGAGACGAAGGGCATGCAGACGCGACGGAGGGACCCCCTGGATGCTGGAGGCCCACAAGGCCGACGACGTTGGGCCCGACCTCTGAATCCAGGCCGTCTTAGCCCCAGCCTTCCGAAGCAATCCGATCTTCAAAGCTCTCTTCTTGACCCCCTCCCATCGAGCCCTGGTAATACCAACTCGCCTGGAAGTCCCCATGGTAGCGTCTGTGCCTAAGTTTCGAGACGACGTAACCCTGCTGGTTGGGGGCAGTGGCCAGGCCTGCTGCAACTGCGCGTCAACCTCCGCGCTGCTGCGCAGATACTTCGACTTGTCTGAAACGGGCAGTCCGAGCTCTGCAAAGCTGGCGATGAGCGAATCCGTGCCACTCGACAACTGTTCGACCACGACGGACGGGGGCGCCACAATCTGCAAGGCTATGTCAGCAATCACGTTTCTGACAGCCAACTGTGGCCTGGAGAACTGAGCTAAGGTGAACGGCTTAAGCAGCAATGATTGTGATAGCGCCGCCGCAGCGGAGCAACCCGCGATGACCCCTCCGTTGGCCTGTATGGCCTGAGATACACACCCACCGTAGTGCAGCATCCCATCGGCAGCATATATAGCGCAGAGCCCCCCGAAGCAACTTAAGGTTAAACTTGTGCTCTACCGCCGCTGCAACCAGGTCCGAATACGTGATGTGCTCGTAGAATTTCCTTAGGCCTAGCAGTGCTGCCGCTGAAGCCGTGCCAATGCAGTGCCCGGAGTGCGCTAGCATGTTATGCACCCATCCAGCCCGCTCGCATGTAGTGTCGGGGCCCGCGCCCCGGAAAAAAAAAAAACTGATGCGGGATGCTCCACCTCCCACTTCTTACATAAGGCCTGTCGGCACTTTGACCAAATCTTCGTGAAGAAGCAAAGCAGTCCTATTGGCCTGACCCCACCATCAGGTTTATCCAGGAAGCTGATGTTTGTGAGGAGGTCTGAGAGCACTTCAGGGGCCTCTTCGAACCCATGGGGGATGTCGAGGATCCTTACTTGGTGGGACGGGGGGAGCAACAAGACCAGCTTGGGGTGGAAGGCGCCCCATCCGAGACCTGCACCTTCAGCATACCCACGGCGCACGTGCAACAGCTGGTCCAGCTCTACTGGCGGCAAAGCGTCCCCCTTTCACGTCCCAGGTTGACGGGTGCTCCTGACCCTTCCTCCTGTCCTGGTACCATACCGCCATCCACTGGTCACACAAGGCCTGGACGGCCTCATCCCCGTTCACAGGGAGGTCGACCTCGTCGACGGGGGCAGAAAACTGGCAGCTGCGGTCGGTCAGCGACCTCCGAGAGAAAGCGCGAGCAACCCGTCCCCCCTTCCCCACCGATTCCGACGCCCAGGTCTTCCATCTAGCGAGCGAATCCTTCGAGTCCTGCCCCCTCAAAGCGTCGACATACATATCTAGCTGCTCAAACTGCCTCTCTGCGTCCACGTGAGCCGACTCGACTGCTGAAATCAAGTCAAGCACGAACGGCTGGCCCACCTCGTGGGCGGAGTTGCAGTCTAGGTTCGGGACCATGCCCCTCAGCCTAGCGGACCACTCCTTGAGCTTGGCCTTGCCTGGGTTCCCCAAGTTGCCTCTGGACAAGGCGAGGGCCCTCTTGGCGAGCGCCTGGAATGACATCCAAGAAGTAGTCCTAACCGAATGCCTCCGACGAGCCTCGCGGGCCCATGCCGCTTCCAGGGGGGACCGTGACCGTCTTGGGCCCTGCAGCCCTACCGCAGTGCGCACCCCTGGAGGTGGCCTCGATATCGCATAGGTTGACGAGCCAGTTCTCGGAGAGGGTGAACCACTCTTCCCCTTCAGCGAGCCCCCATTGGAGGCCCCCTGGATCCCAAGACCATCCTTCTTCGCCCTGGAATCTGCGGGGGCCCATGCAAGGCTCCAGCGGGGAACGTTTGAAGTGCGCCTGCTTCGTGATGAGCCTGGTGGGGGAGAGGCCCTCTAAGATGAGTCCAACAGGCATGCGATGGTGCACTGGTGCATCAGGGAAGCATCGGACTTCCCGAACACAATGACTAAGTGCACGGGCACCAACAAGGAAGTCCAGCTCGCGAGCCTCCTTCTCCTTCCTGCCTTGGGCTCCTCCTTGATCCCCCCTCCCCCCCGTCTCCTGCATCCCCATGAGCTGCAGCAGCGTCGCCGCCTCCCGCAGCACCAAATCTGCAAGTTGGCTGACCTGGGGTAAACAACGACCCGCCTACTCGTTCGATCCACCCACTGGTCGCCAGCTCGTGGGGCGTGAAGTTCCAGTCGGCCTGCATTGACCATAGACTCTGGATGTTGCACACATGCTGCCCCAGGGCGCTCAGAAGCCGAAGGTTATCATCGCCCGTAGAAACAGCCTTCCCAAGGTTCATGTCGAACTGATGTTATAGACCCCACTGGTATGCCTGCTGGAGCTTCTCATCCGTCTTCGGTCGCGTCCCCTGAATGCGAATCACATGTGGCTGCACGCCGCCACGGTCGGGTCGCTTCAAGTCAATCAGCTCTGGCCCCCGATCTTGGCACCAGTCCATTGCCAACTTGGGGGTCTCCCAACTGCTGGCATTAGCTCCGACCTGCAAGAGCTCCTGGCTCACGACCGACTGCAAGCACAGGGGGGGCCCTCAATCGCCACGACCGCCTCGCCGCCCTTGCTGTCGACGGTGAGCTTCTGAACTGAGCTTCCTTGGACAGCTGCAAACGTCTGCCGGGTCCGCGGAACTCCCTGCCCCCCGACCCCGCGCGCTGTTGCCCCCGCCTCCTGTGGAAGGGGTGCCCTGGGGGACGGGGAGGCATGGGGCGACGCAGCCTGACGGGGAGGCCCAAGACCTCCCCCGCCAGGACTTTGCGTCCGAACGCCAGACGAAGACCCAGTCGTCGCTGCCACCGAAGGAGAGCATGTCGCCGACGATGGAGGAGCCGCCTCGCATGTCGCCGTTCTTGCCATCAAGCTCGCTCCTGCCCCAAACCCCGCTGGGCGGGCCAGTTGGGGGGGGGGGGTATGCCCAGCAACTCCTTGCGGCGGCCTCTGCGGCCCCCGAGGGGCCGTGAGCGCACCAGTCGACGCGGATGGCCCAGTCCTCGACAAGGAACACCGCGGCGATGTGGGCAAAAGGGGTTGGACGACGAGGGGCTGAATCCCTCTCCCCCTTGCCCCAGGCTCCGCTTCCCGAAGCAGATCTCGATGCGCCTAGCTGCGGCCACTCCGTCTCGCCCAGTTCAACCCTGCTGCCATCGCGCAGGCGGAAGAGCATCCAGTCGAACCGCAGGTCATCGCGCAGGACTGGCATCGCGAAGCCCGTGGCCTCCTCCCGCTCGGCGTCGACCTTGTTGCTTCCCAAGAAGCAGCCCAGGACGCTCGTCACTGGGGCCATCGCTGCCGCAGCGGTCTGGACGAGGCTACCCAGTCCTTGGCTTTTTGACTCGAATGCCAAGGGCGGCAGCTGCCTCGATGCACTTGCGCTTGGCTTCTGCTTGGTCCTCTTGCGCCGCCTGGCGAAGGCGCTCCGCTGCATCAGCAAACTCCTTCTGCTTCTGCTCGTAGCCCTCGCTCCCCAGGAGCTCCACGTCGATGTCGTCGCCTCCTGCTGCAGCGTACTCGCCGTCTGCAGCGGCCGTGCCGCCTGGCCCTCCACTGGCGCCGCCAGCAGAGCCAGCAGCAGCAACAGTAGCATCTGCAGCGGCCTGCTGAGCAGCGCGCTTGGCCTCCAAGGCCGCAGCGTTGAGCCGCTGGAGGGCGGCCAGGGCTGCTGCCCCCTCAGACGACTGGGCCACGCTGTCGTCCAAGGCCGCCGAGATAGCCTTGAGAGGGTCCGTGCTCTCCTCAGCCTGAAGACGGAAGAGCGCCGTCTCCGCTGTGCCGAGCTCGCCCTTGAACGTCTCGACGCTGGCGGAGATCTCGCTGAGCTCCTTGTCCAACTCCTCACGCTGCGAGCGAAGGGCAGACCCCCGCGACTCCAGCTTGCCCAGCTTGGCGCGCAAGTTGTCGACCTTCCATCTCTGTGTGCGCGCTGAAGGGGCTTTCGGTACCGTAGCCATCTGCGCCTTCTTCTTCGCTTCCTCCACTCCAGACGCGTCCAGGCCCTCGCGTTTGAGGAACTGCACCACCTCGGCGTGGGTGAGCTCCTTGCCACTGGACTGCTGTGGAGGCATCTTCCACGGCGGCCTGCTCCCTTCGAGCATCGCCACCTTCGACTGCAGGTCCTTGATGAGCTTCGCCTGGGCTGAGCTAGGCTCACCCGCGCCCGTAGAGCGAGGCGGCCCGTTCGCCCATGCACCTCCTGGCTTGCGCATGGTGCTCTTGGAGGGCGGGGATGCAGCAGCTGCGGCCCTCTTAGCTGCCTGCACCACCTTGCTTGGCGCAGCTCCTGCACAGGCCCTGCACTTGATCCGACAGGCCCACTTGTCCCAGCAGCCGCAGTGTGGGCACCCCCACAGGGCGTCTTCGTGCCGGCCAAGACATCGGGCGGTGGCCCCATGCGCCGCTGGCTGAAGCGGCTGGGGCGAGCGTGAAAGACTGCAAACGGCCCGCAAGCACGAGCCGCTCTAAAGTACGCGCTTGCAAGCTCAGCGCCTCAACAGGCCTGAGCCAGAACGGCTAGGAGGAGGAGGAGGAGGAAGAGGAGGAGGAGGAGGAGGAGGAGGAGGAGGAGGAGGAGGAGGAGGAGAGGAGGAGGAGCGACAAGGAGCGAGGAGCGCGTTGCCTCCTCTCCCATCTCTGGAGACCGGGCGGTGACCACCACCGTCGTGCCCTCGGGCATCCTCTGAGCCAAGGCCCTCGCGATCTCGAAGCCTGCGCCAGAGCTCCTCGCCCTCTTCCTCCTCCTCGTCCACCTGCTTGCCCTCCTCCTCCGCGACCTCCTTCTCTTGTGCCCTCATCCTCCTCGCTCGAGCCAGTCTCTTTCTGGAAGGTTTGTGTCGAAGCATGCCATCCAACTCCCCTCATCCGCGCGCAGCTGACGCCCATGAGACCCTCGTTCTTCCACCAGCCGTTAGGAAGTCGACGGGGTGACCATCAGGTCTGCTGGCTAGGCAAACCTCTGAAAAGATTTGAAGGGCGCCAGGCTTCCGCGAGGAGGAGCCACTCCTCGCCCTGCTCATGCTTGCATTGCTCAAGGCCTCGCAAAACTCGGGCGCCCCAGACGGTAAGAGCTTGCGAGCAGGGCTCGCTAAACTGTTTAGAGATCGCCGACCCCTCCATCCCCGCACACAGCCCCCCCCCCCGCGAGAAGGGAAAAACTTCGTTGCTGGTGTGTCTCGCCCTGGCCACCGCCGCGATCGCAACGTCGGCCCAGCTTTCAACCACGGCGACCACGACGGGAGCCAGAGTCTTACGGACCCCTCCTCGCTTCTCGCGCCCTGGATGGTGGCACATGCAGACAACCAAGGTCTCCTCCAAGCCTCTGATCTGTACACCTCACCGTCCTCCTCCCCCTGAAAGTCCCCGCGACCCCAGGGTGCCTATGCCTGGCTGCCGGTTGGCCCCGGTCACGATGGCCACGGGGCTGGGCCGCGCCATGAGCCGCAGGCTTTGCCGCCGAAGGTTGCGACAGCGACGGCGACGACGACATCGTCGATCGAGGATCGAGGTTCGGAGACGTTTTCGAGGTCTTCGAAGATCGAAGTCTCAGGATCGACGACGTCGGCGTCGCTCGAGGTTCGAGGATCGAGGCTCGAGGATGGAGGGTCCGAGGATGGAGGGTCCGAGACCGTGATTTGGGCCTCCCAGGGTCGCACTCGTGGCCACGGCTGGATCCGCCTCCCTCGAGGTTCTGGACAGAACACGCCCCAGGACGTGTCTGGGGGTCGGCCGGGCGTCGTCGTAGTCAGCATCGTCGTCGTCGTCGTCGTCGTCGTCGTCGTTCGTCGTCGTTCGTCGTCGTTGTTGTCGCCCCTTTCCTTGAGCTCCTCCAGCCCTCTGGGCTGAGGTGGATACGACCGCGCTTTCTCTTCTGGCCCCCTCTTCCCCTTCGGGGGGAGGGGCTTAATCCACCTCCTACAATGGAGGCCAGTCCACAAGAAACCTTCCACAAGAAACCCAACCCTGAGACCCCAGGACGTCCAGGATGGGAACGTCACGCTTTCGGAAGCAAAACCATCGAAACCCAAGAAACCCAGGGCACCCTGGAGGCAAGCAGGGTGTTTCTTGGCATGGGTCTTCACTGTACTAGAGACGAAGTCCGAACCGAGGCAAACTCGAACCCGGATAAATCGGGGATCTCTGAGGTCCGTCGGCTCTGGAGGATGTATAGGGCCCCACGGACATTCTAAAGCGGTCCGACTCGCTCTGAGAGCGTCCTGGAACGCTCTGGAACGATGCATCTCTGTCCAAGCCCCGCCCGACCTACCCCATCTTCCTTGGTCTGGACAGGGAGGGTCGCGAGGGGTTAGAGAACCGAAGATGGTCCAGGATGGCTCCAAGATGGTCCAAGAAAATCGAATCATATGGCCTCCAAGAAGACCCCAAGAGCGGCCAAGAGCGCCCCAAGAGGGTCGGCGGGTCATCGTCGTCATCGTCGTCGTCGTCGTCGTCGCCGTCGTCATCGTCGTCGTCGTCGTCGTTCGTCGCTGTTGGTGTCGCCCCTCTCCTTGGATTCCTCCAGCCCTCTGGGCTGAGGTGGATTATAGCGATTCCTCTTCCAACCTCCCTCCCTTCAAGGAGGGTTTCAATCACTGCCCCTCCCTCCCCCGCCTGGTCGGCGGCAAACCCGAAACCATGACGACCCCCCCCCCAAACCATCCCCTTCACAAAGCACCACGAACTGGATGATGTGCGGGCGCCCTGTGATCGCTTTACCTCGTCTTGCTGACAGGGGCGAAGGGTGGGCGGAGGCATGCTGTCCCACGTTTGCAGGACCACCGCCCCCGTCAAATACCACGCGCACGCTGCGGCAAGACATCTCGGAACATGCGCGGGCGCCTGGCAACCATTTCGCATTGCTTTTTGACGGGGGGGAGCGCAAGGGGATTATTACAGCGTCCAAGATGTCCCAAGAAAGTCCAATATGGCCCCCAAGACGACCCAGAAGCGCCCCATGAGGGTCGGATGGTCGTCGTCGTCGTCGTCGTTCGTCGTCGCTGTTGTCGGGGATGATGGGGGTGCACTGGTGCGCGCGGCGCACCTCGCGGGCGTCGCGCACCTGGCTGCCGTCTGCAGTGATTCCCGATGGTTGTCGATGGCGCCCCATGCATGTGCTGAGACTCGCTTGCTACTTTTGAGGTGGGAGGACGGCTGCGAGTGAGCGAGACGGCCGTCCTTCGGGCGGGAGGGGCTTGACCATTGCTCCCTGTTAATAAACACCCCCTCCCCCACCCGCACCGAATCGCGCCGCGGGTGCGCTGCGCGTACCAAGGCTCCCCCACCATCCCTTTCAAACAAGCATGTACAACATACACTTTGCCTCCACATCTGGAGCATGCGAGGGCACCACGCGAAAACTTTGCATCGGTTTTTGACTGTAACGGTGGGGGGCCGGCATGTTGCTTACTGCGCGCAGGATAACCACCCATGCGACAATTTATCCCAGTGCGACCCTGCCTAGGAGTTGGAGACTCTAGAAAAGCAACACTAGTAGGAGCGGTAAACGCCGTCCTCCTCCTTCTCCTCATCGTCGTAGTTGTAGCAGTAGCGGTCGTAGTAGTAGTAGTAGTAGTAGTAGTAGTAGTAGTAGTAGTAGTAGTAGTAGTAGTAGTAGTAGTAGTAGTAGTCGTAGTAGTAGTAGTAGTAGTAGTAGTCGTAGTAGTAGTAGTAGTAGTAGTAGTAGTAGTTAGTAGTAGTAGTAGTAGTAGTAGTAGTAGTAGTAGTAGTAGTAGTAGTAGTAGTAGTAGTAGTAGTAGTAGTAGTAGTAGTAGTAGTAGTAGTAGTAGTAGTCGTAGTAGTAGTCGTAGTAGTAGTAGTAGTAGTAGTCGTAGTAGTAGTAGTAGTAGTAGTAGTAGTAGTAGTAGTAGTAGTATTAGTAGTAGTAATAGTAGTAGTAGTAGTAGTAGTAGTAGTCGTAGTAGTAGTAGTAGTCGTAGTAGTCGTAGTAGTCGTAGTAGCAGTAGTCGTAGTAGTAGTAGTAGTAGTAGCAGCAGCAGCAGTAGTAGTAGTAGTAGTAGTAATAGTAGTAGTAGTAGTAGTAGTAGTAGTAGTAGTAGTAGTAGTAGTAGTAGTAGTCGTAATAGTGCCAGAACCGCCGACGCACACATGTAAGTACATACATGTACGTGCGCACACACATATAAGTACATATATGCATATATATATATATATATAGCAGCAGCAGCCGCAATAGGTGGATGCTGTGCTGCGCTATGCCATGCTATGCTATGCTATGCTCTGCTCTGCTATACTATGCAATGTTATCCTCTGCTATGCTGCGCAAGGCGTTGCCGGGCTAGACTAGACTAGGCTAGGCTATGCTATGATATGCTCTGCTATGCTGCGCTATACTATGATATGCTATGCTATGCTTTGCTATGCTGCGCTATGTTGCGCTATGCTATGCTATGCTGTGCTATGCTAGGGTACGCTCGACTGCGCTGTGTTATGCTAGGCTATGCTATGCTATGCTGCGCTATGCTATGCTATGCTATGCTATGTTATGCTGCGCTATGTTATGCTATGCTATGCTGCGCTATGCTATGCTATGCTAGGCTGTGCTATGATATGCTATGCTGAGCTATGGTATGCTATGATATGTTCTGCTATGCTATGCTGCGCTATGCTATGCTATGCTATGCTGCGCTATGCCATGCTATGCTGCGCTGTGTTATGCTAAGCAATGCTATGCTATGATATAATGTGCTATACTATGCTATGCTAGGGTACGTTCGGCTGCGCTGTGTTATGCTAGGCTATGCTATGCTATGCTATACTATGCTATGCTGCGCTATGCTATGCTATGATATGCAATGCTATGCTATGCTATGCTGAGCTATGCTATGCTATGCTGTGCTATGCTGTGCTAATGCTGCGCTGCGCTATGCTGCGCTGATCTAAACTAATCTTATCTCATCTTAGCTTAGCTTAGCTTAGCTTTGTCTAGCCTAGCTGAGCTTAGCTTAGTTTAGCTTAGCTTATCCCATATTAGCTTAGCTTAGCTTAGCTTAGCTTGGCTGGGCTTAGCTTAGCTTAGCTTAGCCTAGCCTAGCTTAGCTTAGCTTAGCTTAGCATAGCTTAGCTTACCTTAGCTTAGCTAAGCTGGGTGAGCCCAACTGGGGGAACCGCGGGGCGGATGCCGGGGGAACTGCCCGGGGCGGTTTCCACTGCCCGGCCCCTTAAGCTCACACGGTAAGAACCCTTCTAGGCAGAGCCTAGGTAGGGAACAAAACAAAGTACACGTTGCCTCCAAATCTGGAGCTTGCGCAGGCGCCGAGCGACCACTTTGCATGGCTTTTGACAGGCACGGCGGAGGTGCCAGCTGATTGCTTGCTGCGGCAGCTCAGTGGCGCACCTCTGCGCGCGCCGCGCACGTGGCGCACCTGGCGCGGCTGGAAAGCGTGGCAAACTTGGCGCACGTGGAGCACGTAGCGCACTTGGCGCGCCTGGCACGCTTGGGCCTCTGAGGTGCCTGGTGCACCTGGAACCCGTGGCGCACATGGCATGCGTGGCGCTCCTGGGCGATGTGCTGACCACTTATGCGTTTGAAGGGCTCGCGGGGCAGTTTTGCTTCCCCAAGCAGCGCTCCCTGGCCGGAACGTGGCGGGCTCACGGGGCGCTCGTCCCTCAGGGCGCGGAGGGGGGGGTTAGGCGCTTCGCGCAGGCAAGACAAGAAATACAGGTGGGGACCGATGGGGAGGAGGCTTTGGGACGCGAGGGTGTGCCGTAGCATCGTTGACACGTCTTGGTATGCTCTGGTCCCCCACCGTCTCCTCCTCCTCCTCCTCCTCCTCCTCCTCCTCCTCCTCCTCCTCCTCCTCCTCCTCCTCCTCCCACATGAGGCCTCTGGAGGTCCCCCGAAGTCACTCGAGGTCCCTAGAGGTCCCAGCGGAGACCTTCGCCTTCGGAGGTCCCCAGAGGCACCCGAAAGGCTTAGAAAAGGCCCGAGGGCATCCTCCAAAAATCTGGATCCTCGTTGCTATGGTTGGTCGTCGTCGTCGTCGTCGTCGTCGTCGTCGTCGTCGTCCGTCGTCCGTCACGTCGCCTGCCGTTACGTCGCCCGTCGTCCGTCGTCGTCGGGCAGGCGCCGAGGTCTGCCGCGTGCGGCCCGAGCTAGGCGGCCTGAGCTCGATGCAGGGCGGCAGCGCGCTGCCAGGAGAAACTGGCAGCAGGCGGGGAAGCGCAGCAGGTGGGAGGGTCCAAACTATTGGCATCGCTTTGTAATTCGATCCCGATTATGCTTTTTGACCGTCGGGACGTTCGGAGGCCTCCTATTTCCTCATTCCTCCTGCCGTTTCCTCCTTTCCTTCGTTCGTCCTGCCTCGTTCCCAGTGCTAGTGGGGAAGATTGTGTGGCAACTATTGGCAACTCTCGACCCTCTGACCTTCTTCTTTGACTTCTGCCCCTGGGGGGCGTCTTCGGTCCCTGGGACAATGGAAAAAGGACCTGGGATGAACAAATACAGTGGAGGCCAGCCCACAAGAAACCTTCCACAAGAAATCAACCCTGAGACCCCAGCACATCCATTGATTATTGGTGTGGGAACGTCACGCCTTTCATTGCAAAACATCGAAACCCAATAAGCCTTGGGCACCCTTAGAGGCCTCCTAGATGGGGTCGGAGTAGATGGGGTCGGAGGATCGCGCCGCATCGCCGATACATCGGCGATGCATCGGCGATGCATCGGCGATGCATCGGCGATGCATTGGCGATGCACTGGCGATGCATTGTCGACGTGGGCGATCATCGGCGACGCCGGCGCGGAGAAACTCGGGCTCCGCATCGAGCCGCATCGGCGATGCATCGGCGATGCGGCGCGATCCTCCGACCCCATCTACTCAGACCCCATGTGGGAGGCCTAGAACCCTGGAGGCAAACAGGGTGTTTCTTGGCATGGGCCTCCACTGTATTTTAGGGAAGCCCCTCTCCGTGCTCTCCTTCCTCCTCCCGCTCGCACGCAACTCGCCTCGACTGTGCGGTCTCCGGACTTCACCAACTTGGCGGGCCCGCTGGCCCTCCGGGGGCCACCCTGAGCTTTTGTCCACTCAAGAAGACGGTCACAACCTGCAGAGATCCTCCCCCTCCCTCTCCTCCCCCTCCTCCTCCTCCTCCTCCTCCTCCTCCTCCTCCGTAGCCACTTTGACTCAAGCCGCTCTGCGCGCGAAGCCTCGTGGCTCAAGCCGGCTAGGCATGTCCCTCCGGTCCTGTGCTGCTGGTCTCGTTCGCGCTGCTTGACGTGGATGGCGCGGGAGGGCGGAGCGTTTCTTCGCCCAGCGCGCTCCTCGGAGGCGCGCAAGGCATCTCAGGCATGGGCAAGGTGGTCAGCAGACCGCGCCGTCGCCAAGGCCGTGGACGAACTCAGGCACGTTCGTGGCCAGCTGGAGACGGAGCAGGCCTTGGACATGACCGTCGGTGACGTCGAGGCCTCGCAGCGCCTGCGGGCGCTACTGCAGGCCTTTCTGGCATTGTTGCGTGGGGAGGCGCCCTCCTGGCTGGACAAGCTCAGGCGGAACGTTGCCCTCCACGCCGATGCCGCGGGTCTTAATGTGGCGTCGGCGGACGCCGCTGCCCTCCGTCATGCTCAAGATAGGCCGCGTCTCGAGGCGCGGCAGGTCCGAGGTGAGGTCGCTGGCCAACATGCGAACTTCAGCTTCTCTGCGAACGCTGCCGTCTTCGTGCCTTTCGGCGAGTGCGGACTGGCTGGCTGCGACGCGGAGTCCGTGGTCAACAGCATCGAGAGCAGCGCCACGGCTTCGTCGATGGGCTGGACTGGGCTTTGTGAGGCCAGTGTCTCGCCTTACAATGTGCTTCCCCGCGCTGGTTCGGACACTTTTGTGGGTACCTTGTCCGCGGCTTTCGGGGATCAGGCCGTCGGAGGCCTAGAGTCATGGGGCGCTCTCCGTCCCTCGGCCGCCCCAGGTTTCTGGGACCCGCTGGCTGGTGCCTCCGAGGACGCGAACGAGGTGGAGTCCGAAGCGTCTGGTGTTTTCGAAGAGCTTGACGAGCTTGGTGAATGCGCCGAGGTGGCTTCGGCCGTGGAGCTGCTTCGGCCAGAGCTTCCCACTTGCAAGGTGCCCCCGTCTGTAGGCCCCAACTTCGGCTTCAAGTTCGCAGCCTCTTCGGCTTGTTCGGCGGGTGGTGCGGGACAGCCTGCGGAGAGCGCAGGTCCGGTTCGTGAGAAGGAGCAGCCTGGAGTGAAGGACGGTCTCACAGGTTATACGGGTTCCTCGAAACGGATGGTAGGTTCGCAGCCTGGGCTACATGCGCCTACCAGTGCTGGCAGCCCGTTTATTTTCTCACAAGAACAGCTGGATACGTGCTTAATCGCTCCGCCCGACCAGAATGCCGTTTGCAAGCAGCAATGACGTACACGCATTGTGGAGTGCCTTCCTCGAGGGCTGCCTGGCTGTGTACGCGGCGGCACCTCCAGGAACACCCGCTTCCCGTGCTCTTCTTCGGCGTCATCTGCGGGGCCCTGTACATCGTCAACTTCGTGTGGTGCGTGTGCTACGGGTTCCGCGTCGTCCCGATGTTCATTGCGGGCAGAGGAGTGCAGCGGCCAAAATCCTCCTCCTTCTCCTCCTCCTCCTCCTCCTCCTCCACCTCCTCCTCCTCCTCCTTCCCCTCCTCCCTCCTCCCAACCCTAATTACTCGCCCGTCTCCTCCCAGAACCACCCCTCACTGACGATTCAGTCTCTCTCATGCTGGGTTTCCAGGTTCACCTCTCTTGTTGCCCAACTGCGCCGTCGATGGATTTCCGGATTGGCTCCTCCGTTTTCTGGTTTCGGCTGTTTTTCCGGATTCCCCACTTAAGATGATTGGTTCGGTCCTCTCCAATGTTATTCCTCCTCCTCCTCCTCCTTCTCATCCTCCTGCTCCTCCCTTTTGTTTGTCCTCCTCCTCCTCCTCCTCCTTCCTCCTCCTCCTCCTCCTCCTCTCCTCCTGCGCTCTCTCCTCCTCCTCCTCCCTCTCTCCTCCTCCCTCCTCCTCCTCCTCCTCCTCCTCTCCTCCTCCTCCTCCCCTCCTTCCCCTCCTCCTCCTCTCTCCTCCTCCTCCTCCTCCTCCTCGTCCTCCTCCTCGTCTCCTCCTCCTCGTCCTCCTCCCTCCTCCTCCTCGTCCTCCTCCTCGTCCTCCTCCTCGTCCTCGGCCGCCTCCGGGTGACCCGGAGACGGTCCAGACCCACCTCCGGGTGACCCGGAGGCGCTCCGAAGCCGCCTCCGGGACCGCCAGGCCGAGGCCTCCGGGTCAGAGCCGCCTCCGCCCCCCCCCCTCGCCAGGCCGAGACCTCCGGGTCAGAGCCGCCTCCGCCACCCTCTGCTAGGCCGAGACCTCCGGGTCAGAGCCGCCTCCGCCCCCCCCCCCCTCGCCAGGCCGAGACCTCCGGGTCAGGGCCGCCTCCGCCCTCCCCTTGCCAGGCCGAGGCCTCCGGGTCAGAGCCGCATCCGCCCTCTCCACCCCCGCCAGGCCGAGACCCCCGGGTTTGAGCCGCCTCTGCTTCCCCCCCCTTGCCTGGCCGAGACCGACCTCCGGGTCAGCGCCGCCTCCCCCCCGCCCCCACCAGGCCGAGACCCCCGGGTCAGAGCCGCTGCTCGCAGTCACCCCTATCGCCGTGACCTCTGGGTCCGAACTGCATCCGCACCTTCGCCGTTAAGGCTCAGGATTCTTTGGGAGTGAAGGGGATCTTGGCCTAAGGAACCTCCCGCTGATGGCGAGCCGCAGCCGCAGCCAATCCATCCCGCGACAGCCAGGGCCGCGCGGGGGCAGGCGCGCCCGCCGTGGCGAGCGCTCCCGGTCTCGGGATCGGACTCCTCGCTCCCCGCCCCGGGCGGCGGGCGGCGTGCACCGCGCCAGCACGATCTACCAGCGCGACAACAACCGGGGCATCAGCACGCGGGCGAAGTCGGCGCCGCCGACGGCACCCCGCACGGAGGTGTCCCCGTTCGAGCGCCCGGCGGCCGCAGGCCTGCCGCCCAACCACGGTGTGCTCCCGTGGGAGGTTGGTATGTGGCTCGCCCGGGCGGGGTTGTCGGTGGCGCCCGCGGCCATGCACCCACCGCCGCCTCTCAGCGGGCCTCTGAAAGCGCCTTCGCCTGCTGCTCCTGGGGGGGTACCGAACGCCAGGGTGCCCGCGGGCCTAACCGTACCGTTCGTGCCGCAGCCCCAGCCGCTCGCTGCGGGCGTGACGCCCCACCCGACGAAGGACGAGAATGGCATGGTCTTGGGCGCGCCGCCGCAGCTACGCCCGCAGCCGCTCCACTCGCCAGCCCCCTTGCAGGGGCTCGCCCCGCCACGCGACGTCAGCGTTGGCGGTGCACCGTTCGTGCCGCCGCCACGCGACGCGGCGGCAGCGATTGCGGAGAAGGGCGCGAGGGAGATGGCCTTGGCAATCGCCCTTGCTTTCCCCGCTGGCGCACCGCCGCCGTTCAGCGGGCCGCCGAAAGCGCCCGCGCCAGCCGCTCCAGTTCTGGGGGGGGTACCGTACGCCAGTGTGCCCGCGGGCCCAACCGTACCGTTGGTGCCACCGCAGCCCCAGCCGCACGCCGCGGGCGTGCCGCCCAACCCAGCGAAGGACGCGGGTAGCATGGACGCACGGGCTATGCCTCCTGCATCGTGGGAGGGGCCGCGCGGGGCCGTGCAGGACCCGCCGGCCGCGGCCGCGGCAGCGGTGGCTTGGCCGGGCGGGCCGGGGAAGAGCCCCCCTGGGGCCGCGGGCGGGCCGGGGACGGCGATGGCCGCAGCGCCCGGTGCCTTCCGGTGCGCTTGCGGTCTAGACCTCGCGGCATGCGGGGCGTGCGGCCGCGGCTGGGCGCAGGTGCAGGCAGCGACGAAAGCCGAGGAGGAGGAGGACGTGGTGGCGAACCTGGTGTCCGGCCTCCGCAATGTGGCCGACACGATTGACCACGTAGGCATGTCACCGGCGGCGGCGGTGGAGGAGGTCCTCAAGGTAGTCAAACAGGCGACGGCGAGGGCCCAGGCGGGTGCCCAGCCCGCAGGGCCACCGCCAGCGGGTCCAGGGGCGGCAGCGCCGACACCCCAATTCAACACGAAGGACGCGGCCGCCTTGACCACCGCGGTGGAGGACTTCCGGCGGCGCCTGACCTCCTGCACAGTGCCAGGGGGGGGGGATCAGGTGGCGCTCCGCAGCTTCACGTGTCGTTCGAGCGGCCTGGGGCGGACCCCATGGACGTGGCGCGGCGCATTCAAGCATTTCATGGGGCAGCGGGGCCGCAGGTCCCAGTGCAGGTCTTGGTGGAGGCGGAGAACCGGGTGTGGAAGAAGCCCCCAGGCACGACGTCCTGGTGGGCGGAGAAGGGCGGTGACGCTCGCACGAACGTGCACCGCCTCCGGGTGCCCGCGCGCCCGTCTTACGGCAGGCCCTCGGCGGTGTCGATCCAGTACAATACAGCCTCGCGTACCGTGGTGGCAGTGGGGGTCAAGCAAAACTTCTTGGACTTCCTCGTCCAGTGGGTGGGGGCCTTCGGCCCGGTGGCGGGCGTGACCGCCGGCCAGCAAAACGTGGCCCCGACGTCAGTCATGCAATACCTGCAGGCCGCCGCGGCACCGGGCGCCGCGTGGTAGGGCGCCGCGCCGCCGACCGGATGGGCGCTTCGAATGGCGGTTGGCCACCTGGGCGTGGGACTGCGGGTGAGGCGTGAATTCGAAGACTCCTATTAGCATTTATCCTTTACACGGCAGCTGGGAGCCGCCAGGCGCCACGACGGCCCGCCAGGGTCGAATGGGCGGGTGCGCGCCGCGGTCCTCAAAAAGGGTGCGCCCCACCCCCCCCTTCCTCCTCCTCGTCCTCCCCTCCTCCTCCCCCTCCTCCTCCTCCTCGTCGCCGCCCCCTTTCTCCTCCTCCCCCCGCCTCCCTGCCTCTCCCTTTTCCGGGTTCCCTATTCTTTCAGGGACCCCGCCTCAGGAGTCGTCAGACGGCGTGAGCCCCAGGATGCGCCGTGGCGAAGCCCACCCAGCCCCGCGTCAGGGCTTCAGCTGGCAACCACGGCGAAGTGCAGCTGTCGGGGGGGTTGTTCGTCGGGTTTCACTGCGAACGCGGCTCCTCCGTGTTCGGGGCCACGGCCCGCCTCGCCGAGAGCGTTCCGGGGCTGCCCTTGGTTGTCCCTCGTGGGGGGCACGTTTTGCTCCCCGTGTTTCGGCCACGTTCGCAGGTCCCTCCTTGGTCAGTTCTGGCGCCCTTCCGCGGCTCGCACAGGGGGTAACAGTCTGTCCCTCGATGGTCAGACCCGGCACCCTTAATTGGAGTCGAAACTGTGTACATTTGGGGCTCGTCGTCGGCAGCAGGCGCCACGGTTGACATACATGGACATTGACATACGTGCCGCTGGCCCCCAGCCCCCCCCTCCCGCTCCTCCCCCCTCCTCCTCCCCCGGTCCCCTTCCCTGCTCCCCTCCCCCCCTCCTCGCGGAGGGGTGTGCGGGGGGTGTACGTGGTGTCACCCCTGAGGCGTAACGGTCTGGAAGCCCGCGTTTCCCGAATCCAGTGTTGCCGCTCTGCCAGGTCTTGTTTGCGAGCCCCCTCAGGGTCACATGGTTGCGGACTCATGCCCTGGCCAGTGGGGAATCGCAGATAGAGTGGTCGGCGGGCCGCACCCCCTAATTTGAATGTACCAGCCTATCCGCACCGGAGGGCCGCTCCATCCCCCCCACGGGGATCGCCCGTTTTCCATTTCAGGTTTCCCAGTCAGGGCTTATTGATGGTTTGCCGGGCACCTTCGTCATCCGCGCCGTGGTGTGCAGACGTATTCTTGAACATCCCATCAGCCGCGCCCCGCCAGTGCTTTCCAGGGCCCTTTCCCTGGCTCGCCTGCTTCCTGTTCCCCCCCTACCCGCTCGCCCGATGGCTCGTGAGGAGACGCCCCTCCCGCGGTGCGCGCCATGGCGGGCGCGTGGGATGCAGGCGGCGGGGCGAACCCCCCTGATACGGCCACGCTGTGTACGTAGTTGGGCAACCCGTGTGGAGGCAGGTCGCGCGTCAGCTGAAATCCGAGAGCTGGCCGAGAGGGTGCTCCCAGACGGCAGCGGCCGTGCTGGAGCTTGGAGAGCGATCTGCTGTAGGCGGGACGCGCGAGCCCTCCTCGGAGAGCAACCCCCGCACGGCCTCTCTGGCGTACCCCCAGAATTGGAAGCCTTCCGGATATTTGATGCGGGGGCGCGTGAAGCATGCCTTCGAGTGGAGGCCCGGATGGCTTGGCAGGCGAGGGACGTTCCCATCAATTCTGTGTACGGTGCTTGGGAGGGGGGGTTGCCGGCCCACGAGCTGGTGCAGGATGCAGCTGTGCCTGCGCGCGCCATGAACTTACTGGTGTCCGCCTTTAACGTGCAGGGCGGGCTGGGGTCCAGACGCGGCGAGGGAGCTCATGAGGGCAGGATTCGCGATCTTGTCGTGGCACTCCACAGCAGAGGAGTGGTCCTCGCAGTCCTCTCCGAGCCGAGGCTAGCCCCCGGCAGCCTTTGGCCCCGCTGGGCTGGGTATGCGTACCACGGTGAACGCAGTGCACTCCCGGACACGGTCGCGCTACTAGTCCTGGACGAGATCGGTAGTCGTGTGGAAGTCTTGGAGGGGGTTGGGGATGCACGGGCCGTTTGGGCTGCCGTATCCATGGGAGGTTCGGCCCGCACTGGGGTGTTACTGTTGGGAGTTTATGGGCCGCCCCCCAATTACGGCGTTGGGGCCCGCCGAACCTTCTGGAAGACTCGAGTGGACGAGTGGCGCCAGCTCCGCGCCCGCCCGTGCTTTCTCGGCTGGTCGTTCTTGTTGGCGGGCGACTTCAACTTCCACTTCTCGGCGTTGGGCGGTATCAACGGGCGCCTGGAGGAGAGCTTGGATCGCGACGTGTGGCAGTGGTTGCACGACGCTTGCCATTTCGGGTCCGTGGTCCGCAACCCTGTTGGGTGCCCGACGCATGCGTCAGGTTCCATCATCGACGTGGTAGCCTCGTCGCCGGAATTGGTGACTGAGGTCAAGGTGGTGGCGCCCGCGGACGCGGGACTGCGCAGCGACCATCGCCGCCTTGATGTTTCGGTCGCTGGCGTGGTGGACTGCACGGGGGAGTCGGCAGTGGGCTTCGCGAGGTGGGAGCGTGGCGCCGACTGGGGGGAGGCTTTACTGTTGGTACCACTCGCGTTACGATTTTTGGTGGGCTGGGCGGGTACGGCCATGCGGTCAGCTGTCGTCCGTCGCTGGGTAGTCGAAGGGCGCTGCCGGGGCACACGGCAGGGCCTGCTCGACCGGGTGGTTTGGTGGAGGGCTGTTGTCTACACCCTAGCTGGCCATTTTGCGGGTATGTCGGTTGCGCACGGCCCACGCGGCCAGCCGCGGGGAGTAGGCGCTGCCGGTGCGGACCGCGACGATGACGACGAGGGCGTGGGGCCAGGGGAGCTGCGGGCGGCGTGGGCCGCGGCGGCTGCGGGCGATGCGGACCCGCCCGCCCGGAAAGCCGCCACCAGAGCTCTTGACAGGTACCTCGAACTCGCAGCGGCGTCGCCCGGCGAGGCGGAAGCCTTCCTGAGTCGCGCATTGGAACCCCGTCTGCCGGTACAGTTGGCCTTGCGGTGCCCGGTGTCCGGTGAGTTATTAGGGCTGGCCGACGCTCTGGAGGTCATCACCGAGGATGTGTTGTCACGCGGAGCGCAGGCTGGGTCTGGCGACGCAGCCTTCAACCGCGCCGTGGCCGATGAGGTCCGCCAGGCACGCCGGGAAGCGCAAGCGGAGGCGGCAGAGTTGGGCACGGGCGACCCGTTCTCCCTGGATGACGTCAACGCGGTCCTCAGGGAGATGAAGGGGAACCGGCGTTCCCTGCACCTCCCGCGCGCGGCCGTCCTCACCGAACTCTGGGGCGGGAGGCTCGTCACCTGGGCATTGGTATGTTTGGTGGCGGTCTCGGGCCTTATGCCAAGTGGATGGTGGCGCGAGGTGGCGCCCATCCAGAAGCGGGAGCCCGTGGTAGTGTCTGACGTCGCCCACCTGCGCCCCGTCAGTTACGTGGACGAGCTATGCGGGACGTTCGACGCCGTGTGGCTTCGGGCGGCCCGCGGCCAGCTGGAGGCGTATGCGGGCGCCCCCCAGGCGGGAGGTAAGTATGACGCCGTCCTGATGGTGATCGGCATGGTCATGGCGCTACAGATACGCAGGGCGCACGGCTTGTCCACCCTCGTGGAGAAAGCCGACCTGGAACACGGCTACGACCTCGCCTGGCGGGATGCTGTACGAGTTCACTTGCGACGCGCCGGTTTGGGGGGGCACCTTTGGCTGGTTGCTGACGCAGCCCTGGGATCCGAAACGATCCGGGTCCGCATCGGCGGGATTGCAGGGGCGGCGGCTGTCCTTACCGAGTTCGGCGTCGGGCAAGGCCGCCGGGCGGGGGTGCACATGTTTGGCGCACTGGTGCGGGCATTGTTGGATGCTTGCTCCGCCGTGGCCTCGGGCGTTGGTGTCGCCCCGCCGGCGGCGGCGGCGCGCGTGTTCCACGAATGCCATCAGGCCGCAACTCTTGCGCCTGGCACGGAAATAGCTTGGGGGGCTGTCCGTGCAGAGGAGTTGTTGGTATCGGTGCGGCCTGGGGTGCCGGACTGGCGCCAGCACCTCCAGGCGCTAGGTACCGTCGCGGACAGGTGCGCCTTCCTCGATGCCGTGGCCGCTCACGCGCTCCTGATCCTCCAGTTCGTGGACGACTCGTTCGTGTTCCAGTCGTCGGCCGCGGGGCTGGCCGCCGTAAACCGGGCACTGACGGAGTTCTGTTTGACGTGGCGCCACCGCTTCCAAGGCGGCCGCAAACGCCCCATGGTGCTGGCCGTGGGGGGTGCGCCTGAGTCGGACAACTTCGGCACTGTGTGCGGGGTGCCGCCGGAGGTTACCCAAGTCCTCGACATGTTGGGCGTCCCCGTGGAGCAGGACCTCGGGTTCCACGCCCTGCTCGGGCGCGTGTGCTCGCGGCTAATTACGCGACGGAGCGCGCAAGCTCGCGGCCGCCCTCGCGCAGCGAGGTTTCGGCCTACCCTACCAGGTGGCGCAACTTCCAGCGCGAGTCGTGGCCAAGGCGTTCTACGGCGCGGAGTTGCTGGCCAGCTTCGCGTCGGGATGGCAGGCCGCGGTGACGCGGGTGAACCATACGCAGTACGAGGTCGCCAAGATGCTGCTCGGTGGGGGGCCAGGGGTGTCCCTAGGCACAGGTGGGCATGTTCGCGCGCTGGCGGAGACGCGGATGCTGACGCGGTGGGGGACGACCCTGATGCAGCGGATCGCCCTCGGTCGGGCGCGGCTGCTTGCGCTGCCACATGGGAGTCCCGTGGCCCAGGTGGTGGCGGGTACGCGGGCCACGACGGGTGCTACTTGGCTGGACCACGCCGCCGAGGTGTCCCGTGCATTGGGCGAGGGTGCGCTTTACCCACACATAATTTTCCATAATACACTACGCTAATACACTACGCTAATACACTACGCTAATACACTACGCTGAAGTATTAGCGTAGGGTATTAGCGCAGTGTATTAGTGCAGTGTATTAGCGCAGTGTATTAGCGTAGTGTATTAGCGTAGTGTATTAATGCAGCGTAGTAGCGTATGGAGATTGCATTGCCAACGCGCGGTTGCGCATTGCCAGCCGGCGCTGTTTTTGTTCGGGTTCGTAGGATCTGCGGATTTTCGCAAGATGTTCGCACGTTTGGATTTTCGTTGGATTTTCGCATGGTGTTTCTAAGATCCGCGGCCCGACGATTTTCGCAAGATTTTCGGAGAAGCCGCGGCGGCCGAACGATTTTCGTAAAATCTTCATACGGTTTTCGTTGGGATTGTTTTCGCTGAGATTTTTGCTGGTTCGTGGGATCCGCGGATTTTCGTATGATTTCCGCCTGATTTTCGCTTGAACTTTCGTGGGATGCTCGTAGGATGTTCCTACAATCCGCGGCCCGACGATTTTCGTAGGATTTCCGCAGGATTCGCGGCGGCCCGACGGTTTCGGAGTGTAGTGTATTAGCGTAGTGTATTAGCGTAGTGTAGTAGCGTAGTGTATTAGTGTAGTGTATTAGCGTAGTGTATTAGTATGGTGCATGAGCGAATGGAGATTGCATTGGCACCGTGCGGTTGCGCATTGCGGCGGTACTCGCAGGATTTTCGTAGGATTTTCGCAAGGTCCGCCGCGGTTCGTAAGAGCCGCGACGGCCCGGCGATTTTCGCAGATCTCCCTAATATTTTCGCTGCGATTTTTATTGGTTCGTAGGATCTGCTGATTTTCGCAAGATGTTCGCAAGATCTTCGTTTGGATTTTCGTGGGATTTTCATAGGATGTTTGTAAGATCCGCGGCCCGACGATTTTCGCAAGATTTTCGGAGAAGCCGCGGCGGCCTGACGATTTTCGCTGGATATTCATACGGTTTTCGCTTGGATTTGTTTTATTGGTTCTTGGTTCGTAGGATCCGCTGATTTTCGAAAGATTTTCGCATGATTTTCGTTTGGATTTTCGTGCGATGCTCGTAGGATGTTCGTACAATCCGCGGCCCGACGATTTTCGCAAGATTTCCGCAGGATTCGCGGCGACTTGGCGATTTTCGCAGTGTAGTGTATGAGCGTAGTGTATGAGCGTAGTGTATTAGCGTAGAGTATTAGCGTAGTGTATTAGCGGAGTGTATTAGCGTAGTGTATTTGCGTAGTGTATTAGCGTAGTGTATTAGCGTAATGTATTAGTGTAGTGTCTTAGCGCGTGGAGATTGCATCGGCACCGTGCGGTCGCGCATTGCAGCGGTACTCGTAAGATGTTCGTCGGATTTTCGTAAGATCCGCGGTCCATTGGAGCCGCGGCGGCTCGACGATTTTCGCATACGTTCGTAAAACTGTCGTTTTTTTTTGTTCGTAGGATCTGCAAATTTTCGTAAGACGTTCGCAAGATCGTCGCGTGGATTTTCGTTGGATTTCCGCGGGATGTTTGCAAGATCCGCGGCCCGACGATTTTCGCAAGATTTTCGGAGAAGCCGCGGCGGCCTGACGATTTTCACAGGATATTCATGCGGTTTTCGTTGGGATGTGAAAAAAAACCGGGGACCGACTCTGACCGGGCAGGGCCCAGACCTCCGACGTCATGAGAAACTCACGACGAAGGTTTTTGACAATTTTCGGCCTCCGTAGTGTATTAGTGTAGTGTATTAGTGTAGTGTATTAGTGTAGTGTATTAGTGTAGTGCATTAGTGTAGTGTATTCGCGTGGTGTATTAGTGTAGTGTATTCGCGTGGTGTATTAGTGTAGTGTATTCGCGTGGTGTATTAGTGTAGTGTATTCGCGTGGTGTATTAGCGCAGTGTATTAGCGTAGTGTATTAGCGTAGTGTATTAGTGTAGTGTATTATGTATGTTTTATGTATGGTTAACCACTTTTTATGTATGGTTAAGGTTACCCGTTGCATTGGGCATTACCGTTGACTTTCCGGCCGGCGCACTGTCCGAGGAGGCTCGCGCGGACCCCGAGGCCCGCAAACGGGCCGTCAAGCACTGGAAGCGCACTGTGGTGCTGCCGGCAGTCCTGGCGTACGAGCAGGCGTGGTTCGTCTTGCAGCTGGGCGCGGTGGGTACTAGTGGTCTCTTGCCATACCGGGAGCTGATTCCAATACGTGGGCCGCTCTCCGCTGGCGTACGATGGGCGCCGTGGGGGCGTACGATGTGGCGCTTCTACCAGGCCTGGGCACTCGCGCGGGCGTCGGGCCGCATGCCAGTGGAAGTGTGGCTGGCCGAGGGGGTCGCCGCCGTTCCCCTGGCGTGCCCACTGTGCGCCGCCCCTGCACCGGAGGGGTGCACTCTGGTGGAGTGCCTCGGGCACTTGCTGTCGGCGTGCCCTGCGGTGGCCCCCCTGCGCGTGGCGTGCTCAACCAGTGACGTGGCACGGTGGGCGCTCGGCGACGTGGAGGACACCGCCGCACTCGCGCCGCGGGTCCGCCTGGTGGGTCTCGCCTCGCGTGCTTGGGTACTGGGCGTGAGGGCGGGGGCAGCCGGCACTGCAGCGGCCGCGCGGGAGGGAGGGGAAGGGTGAGGGCTGAGGCGTCCGCGCCAAGGCCCGCGCCCCTGCTGCGTCGGCCCGGAGGCCCAGAGGGGCGGCGGCGCGCGCGGCGGGGCGTGGACGGGCCTCCGGGCCCTGCTGGCAGAAATAGCCTCGAGGAAATAGCCTCCTCCTCCTCCTCCTCCTCCTCCTCCTCCTCTCCTCCTCCTCCGCTCCTCCCCTCCTCCTCCTCCTCCTCCTTCCTCCTCCTCCTCGTCCTCCCTCGCCTCCTCCTCCTCCTCCTCCTCCTCCTCCTCCTCCTCCTCCTCCTCCTCCTCCTCCTCCTCCTCCTCCTCCTCCTCCTCTCCCCCTCCTCGCCCTCCTTCCTCCTCCTCCTCCACCTCCTCCTCCTCCTCCTCCTCCTCCTCTCCTCCTCCTCCTCCTCCTCCTCCTCCGCCTCGCTCCTCCTCCTCCTCCTCATCCTCCTCATCCTCCTCCTCCTCTCCCTCCTTCTCCCTCCTCCTCCCCTCCTCCTCGTCCTCCTCCTCGTCCTCCTCCTCGTCCTCTCTCGTCATCGTCCTCGTCCTCGCCCTCCTCCTCCTCCCCTCCTCCTCCTCGTCCTCGTCCTCGTCTCGTCCTCCTCTTCCTCGTCCTCCTCCTCCTCGTCCTCCTCGTCCTCCTCGTCCTCCTCGTCCTCCTCCTCGTCCTCTCCCGTCCTCGTCATCGTCCTCCTCTTCCTCGTCCTCCTCGTCCCTCCTCCTCCTCCTCCTCCTCCCTCCTCCTCCTCCTCCTCCTCCTCGTCCTTCTCGTCCTCCTCCTCCTCCTTCTCCTCCTCCTCCTCCTCCTCCTCCTCCTCCTCCTCCGCCTCATCATATTCCGCTGCCTTCCGGAAAAGAGGGGGCCTTCGCCGCTTATACAAGGCGTGCCGCCCCAGAAACGGGGCGAACCGCTGCCTCAAGGGGCGACCAGCGGCGTCGAACCCGTCGGCCCAGGCCGAGACGCACGGCGGCTCAGGGTTGGAAGCGATTAGAAGAGGAAGAGGAGGAGGAGGAGGAGGAGGAGGAGGAGGAGGAGGAGGAGGAAGAAAAGGAGGAGGAGGAGGAGGAGGAGGAGGAGGAGGAGAAGGAGGAGGAGGAGGAGGAGGAGGAGGAGGAGGAGGAGGAGGAGGAGGAGGAGCGCGACGCGGCTCAGGCTTTGAGGGGGCGGAGAGGGGAGCAGACGACGAGGGGCAGGGGAGGAGGCAGGACAGGGCATGGCGCTGGGACACGAGTCTCAACGGAGGCAGCAGCGGCTGCAGCAGGCGCATATCAACGAAATCCCGGGGCCTCAGTAGCATCCAGAGGTACACTCCGCGGCCTCCAGTGTGCCCAAGATGCCATCTGAGCTGGCTTAAGCTTGGCCCCACCTCGCCGAAAAGTCCTCCAAGACGACCTAGATGGCCTCATGACCGCCGAAGAGGCTTCGAAAACGCCCCAGGAGGGCCCCAGGACGACCGCCAAGAGGGCCCCAAGGAGCAAGCATCGCCCCAATCCCGAGGGAAAACATAAGTTTGTCGCATGTTCGCAAGCTTGGCCTCGACAGCGTCCAAGACGGCTCAAGACGTCCCCAAGATCGCTCCAAGACGGCCCAAGAAGCCTCAAAGAGGGCTCCAAGACGGTCGATTAGGGTCCCAAGACGTCCCAAGAGAAACCACAGATGGCTCAAAAGGGCCCCGACATGGTCCTGAGATGGGGCCCGAGAGAGGCAACGCGAACTGACATTCCGAGCCTTGAGCCCCCGGAGGACCCCCGAGAGCGCCAACAGGCGCCCATAGACCCCCAGGAAGCCCGAAGAGGCCTCCGGGACACCCAGCAAAAGCCCCCAGAAGGTCTCCAAGAGGACCCGCAAGGCCTCACCCGTGAACTTCTGTTCTCTTTTGGAGCTCGGCGGAATGGCGTAAGCCTCCTGAATCCACGTTCGGAAGTGACGCGTTGCCAGAGGCAGGTCGCAGAGCGGAGCCTCAGCCCTGACGCAACGTATTGCGCACAACAAATGCTGAATCATTGATGCGCACGGTGCTATTTTACATTATTCTGTATCCCCCCCTGAACTCTCCCCCTGGAATCGCGCCACATAGGCGTACCAAAATAGCAGCTCATTCTGGCGCCCAAAAACGTATCAAAACGTATGGAACAGCTTTGACGTGGGCCTCTGGGGCCTCTTGGGGGTCCAAAAGGGCCCCCAGGCAGCTCAACGTGGCCTCTAGACAGCCGAAGCATGAAAGCCCCCAAGACAGCCCCAGAAAATCCAAAATTGAAGCCCGAGTGCACCTCCAGAGGCTTAAAACATGGATTTCCGTTATGCTTGAACAGATGTTCGCGTCTCGGCTTTTTCGATCCTCGGGGGCCCATGACAGCCCGAGCCGCCTTCAAGATGGCCCAAAGAAGCCCCCAAGACGGCTCAAGAGGCCCCCCCAAGACGGGCCAAGAAGACCCTAAGAGACCCACAAAAGGGCCCCGAGAAACCCCAAGACAGCCTCCAGAGGGACCAAACGGCGCAAGAGCGCCCCAAGACAGCCCCAGAGGCCCCAAAAAGGTCTCCAGAGGCCCCGACAAGGTCACCGAGAGGCCCCAACGGCCCCCGACAAGCCCCCAAGAGGCGCCCACGCGGCCCCAAGATACCACCGCGAGTCCAATACATTGAAAACGAATGGCGCATGGTTGCTATTGCAGCGGATTTAGCTTGGCGTTGCCTTGTGTTGACGCGCGGTGACGCATTGCCTTCGTTGGCGCTCGCACGCTCGTCCCAGCGCTGAAACTAAGGGGGGCGGAGGGCGGGGGCGGGGGCGCATCTGCCCTCCTCCGCGCTGGCAGCGCCCTGGGGCGGGCAGAACAACGCGACTGAACATCGCGCCGGACAAGCGAGACGAATTACCCAACGCCCAATATTTCCGTGCTCCGGATGCGCACCCCGCGAAACGAAAGAAATCTGCAAAACAACCCAAAAACCTACGAACCTTCTGGGGCCCAGAGGGACCGCGTGGAAGCTCATGCGGGATCCAGAAGGCTCTGGCGGGAACTGGAAAATTTCTGAAGAATCCAAACAGACTTCGCGGAATCCTGAGGAATCCTGAACGGTTTCGAAGGGCCTTGAGGAAGCCTGAAACATTCTGAGCGACCCTGAGGGATCCAGAAAAATCAGCTGGACCCCGCGGAAACCCGAGGAACCCTGACGCAGCCCGAGGGACCCCGCTGAAACCTCTCTTTCGGGATTTCTGCTCAGACAAACCAGACCCCGAGTTGGGGGGTTCGGCCTGCCTGAGAGAGCGAGATAGAGAGACAGAGAGAGAGAGAGAAAGAAAGAAATAAATAAAGAGAGAGAGAGAGATATTATATATATATAGAGAGAGAGAGAGAGAGAAACAAAAAAAAAAAACAAAAAAAAACGACCGAAGCTTGCCTGAGAAGTTTTGGGTTGGGCCTGCCTGCCCGCCTGAAACGTGTTGGGTTTGGCCTGGCTGCTTGCGCGGGGTGGCTGGGCCAACCGCCCCGCGCGGTGGTCGCGTAGCGAGACGTCCGCTGACGGGCCGCGGGAAAGACGCTGCAGGGAGACAGCTGTGGAGATCGGGGGCGCCCCGTCCCGCCCACGCGGGCCGCGAGCGGCGCAACGGGGCCTCCGCGTCGCAGGCGTCGGAGTCGCCCGCTCTTTCGATCAGTGGCGGACAGGGGGGCGGGGCACGCAAGAACAGCAGCGGCACTCAGAGGCAAACGGTACACCGGACTCACTTCTATAGCGCTCACTTCTATAGTGCTCACTTTGAAATTGTGGTCCGGAAGGGGCCGCACATGCAGGCACATGCCGCACAGTCGCATGCACATGCCCATGCAAATATACAAAAGCCTCAACAACATTGCCGCACATGCGCGCACATGCCACACCGTCCGACGCACAGTCGAATGCACGTTCAAGCAAAACTCTGAAAGCATAGACGCACATGCCCGCACATGCCGCAGAGATGTCGCAGGCGATAGTGGCCTGACCACCTGAGCTCGGGGCATTTCGCAACCCAGAGTTCCGAGGATGTCTCAGGCAAGCGTGGCTGGATCACCATGGGGCAGGGCATCTTGGAAACCAGAGTGGCGAGGCCGCACAGGCCTGGCACATGACTGGCACATGCCGCGCGCGCACATGACAGCGCAAAAACGGCCGCACATACACCCACCCAGGGGTATAGATGTGAGTGCGGTGTACTGCGGGGAAAGGGGGCGGGGACGAACAGAGGGGGCCCCTCGCCGTCACGACTGCCGCGCGGCACCGATGGCCTCAGGAGGCGGCGATCGGTTGCAGCAGTTTGCCGCGCTGTCGCTGCCGCGGTATGTCGGGGCATTCGGGACCCCGTTTCGTGCGCCGCATCAACCTTGCAGGCTCTTTTTCGTTTCTCTCTCGCTCTCTCTCTCTCTCTCTCTCTTTCTTTCTTTCTTCTGCCTACATGCAACCGTGGCGCGGTGTCGGGCATGCCTCCTCGTCGTCCTCCTCCTCCTCCTCCTCCTCCTCCTCCTCTCCTCTTCTTTCTCCTCCTCCTGCTTCTCCTCCTCCTTTTCCGTCCTCGCCCGTGGACTCGCAAAGGTCCATGCAACTTGAAGGTTGCAGGTGAGAGAAACTCACCAGCAATGGCAGCGTGTTCTTCCTATTGGTTGCTTCGTCCGCCCAACTGCCTAGGCCTTCATCTGGGGTGTCGCCTCAGAACGTCCCCAGAGAATTTACGAAAGGCAAACTTCATGTATGTTGTTACGCTTTCCTAAACTGTTACATGTGTGTGTGTGTGTGTGCGTTTTCGATACTCAGGTTGTCTGAGACAATCCAAGAGGCCCCATTTTCTCCCAAGACTGAGCAACAAAAAAAATATGAGGGCTCCAAGGTAGGGCCCAAACAATGAAAACTCGAAGCCCCAGGAATCCTCCACCATAGGATGGCCCCCGAGACTCCCACCATGCCCCGGGGAGAATCCCAAGAGGCAC